AGCTGTAATCAACCACACTACACTTTGTTTCTTAATTTGATGGTAACCTGGAAGCCCCTTTGCTTATCTGCTTTTATAAGCAAGAAAGGTGTTCCCAAACAAACCCACTGTAGACCCTTGTTCCCACATACAAAAAGAATGACATGTCAAAGTGGTATTAAAAATATATTTCTAACAGAAGTCCAATTAAAGTCCCACACCTCTCTATCGCTTGCAGTTTTCCTGTAAAGAAAGGGAGTGTTAGGAAATCTCTCCAAAAAGCACACAGAAAAAAAATTATAGAGTAAGGATGGGTTAGAACATCTAAAGTGAGGAAATGAGGCAAAATCACCCCAACAAGGTCACAAACAGAATTAAACACATGATAGAACCTTTAACTCTTCCCATTTTCATCTAACATTAAAAAAAAGAGTTAGGCTTTAAATTGAAATTTTATTTATGGAGAATTTCTTAAGCTATACAGCATTCACACTCAGGGGTTGATTTACTAAAGGAGTCACATCCACATAGTGAAGTCAACCTTTTTTCAGTTTACCAAAGAAATTTGAAACATAGAAAGATCCCCTGCCTGATTGGATGCTTCCAGCAAACACAGGTCTACTTCACCAGGGGCCTAGTTTACTGTGAAGCGAGGTAAAGTAAAGTAAAGTTTATATTTATTCACTTTAGATATCATGTAAAGTACAAGCCCGGAATTTCTACATGATTAGATGTCTGAGCATGGCACAGATGTGGTTTAGGGCCCATTCACAAAGTGATCTGCTATAGTGCGTTAATAAATGAGTGCCAATGTATGATTTTGCACGCATTAATGTTTATTGTGTTAAGGTAGTGCCATCATTAAGACTTGGCTGCCACATTACAGCAGTTGAAATACATGCTTGAACCTTTTTGCAAGACACAGCATATCACAATATATCAGGACCTAAGAGTAGAATTACTCTTTTAAGAAAGTTCACCCGGAATGTTGTAAGAGCATTCAATTGTGGGACCTGCTTTCTAAACATGCAGGCATGGAGTTCACATTCATACCAAAGAGAAAAAAAATTATAATGTTCTCATGTCTAATGTATTTTGCTGGGCTGCTTCAAGGATATCTCAGGAGGAGAAGTGACATCATTCACTGATACAGAAAGCTGTATTGGTTGCTCTCAGGAAGATAACAAATGACAAGCCTCAAGATAAGGCGCAGAGTTCCATACGTGCTTGCTGTAGTTCATAAAGCCCAATTCGTGAGATTTTAGTTTATTTTGGAAACAGTTATGGAAGACTCTCACAAATATTTATTTTCCTGATGGTTAAGGAATTTAGAGATTCCAACAACTCATACAGATTTAATATATAAATGTACTTTGTTACAGTGAGCCAAACACAACTGCAAGAGCCAATGTATATGATTGAAATGTTGCTGGGTCTAATTTGCTTTCAAATAGGATGAATCCATGGATACAATTCAGATGCAGCTGCACATTTTCAAAATCATGATTCTGCAGGCCTATCTCACGTCTCTTAGCTGTTGTTTCTCTTATGATGATCAGATTGTTCAGAAATACATTTTCTGAGCTAGTACTGTCATTGTGTGTTGTATTTAGGCCAGGTTCACAACATTTTACGGACCAGATTTTGACTAGATCTGGAACGCGGTACATTGAGTTTTTTCCACGTTTTTTTTATCTTAAAATGGGCTTACAGGTACATTCCATTGTGTTTGCATGGATTTGTACGTGTTTTTGATGCATTTTCATGTGTTCCAGTGCATTTCAGACCAGAGAAAATGAGGCAAGCAGTATTTTTTTGGTCTTGTCCGGAACGGACTGCATTGGTGGGAACAGAGCCCAGAAATACATTACGGAAACATTGGGATGCTTTTTGGTCTGGGAACAAACTGTTCTGGTCTGGACATGATCCAGACATGGTGTGGTCAAGCCCTGAATGGCTATAACATCAGGTGTAGAACTATGTAGACAGTTATCCTGGACTGGAATTAGTGTCTTTCATTTGTCATTTATGGACAGTTTTCAAGTAAAGGCACAATTTCTAACCACACTCTGCACTGAAATGGGGTAAATCCTATTGCTTAAGCAGGGTAAAGGGCAATCAATTGCCCAGTACTCTACATAAACATTGGACACTTTTCCTAAGAAGCAGTGCTACAATACACAGTAATACACTACTGTCATTGTGTTCCTCCAAAAAGGTTTAGGTGCTGCTTGAGGTGCATGCTGGCAGTGGCGGAACTACCGCCGGTGCAGGCGGTGCGGTCGCACCAGGGCATCCGGCCTCTACTTTTTTTTTTTTTGGGGGGGGGGCCCAAAAAAAATCTTGCACCAGGGCCCTTTGTTCCTTAGCTCCGCCACTGCATGCTGGTGCATGATAACATGCATTATGTTAAAATGACACTACATGCAGAGGTTAAACCTTAAAAATGCATTCAAGTACCTTAACTATTAGCAACAATGTAGTTTACAGTATTTGTATATCACTCAGCTGTAGATCATCAAATCATCTCTGAATTGGTGCTGACATTGTCCTTCCTTCTGGAGGGTGGCTACCTTTGTTCCTCATGGTCTCTGTGTGTGTTGTAAAGTAGCCACTGTTTGAAGCTTGCTCCAGTGATGGACTACAATCTCACATTTAGTTTACTAATTTGTATTGAGATTGTAGTTCATCATGGGAGCGAGCTTGGAGTGGTGGCTACTTTACAACACACACAGGGACCATGGGGAACAAAAGTAGCCGCCCTCCAGAAGGAAGGACATTGACATCTGCACCAATTCAGAGATGATTTGAGGATCTACAGCCGAGTGATGCATAAATAAACAACATTTGTATTATTAGTTAAGGTACCTGAATGCATTTTTAAGTTAAGGCACACATTACAATATTGGTTTATGTTAAAAAATATGAGGGTTTAATGTCACTTTAAGGCAGATTTAAAAAATTAATGCTCCTCTGTATTCATTTATATATCTCTGAGTGTATGTAAAGCTTGTGCCTTAATTGTCGGCTAGTCCCCCCCCACACTGTTGACACGTAACATTTGCCTCCATTGGCCGATTTACCATCACCTCTTGCTCTGGTGACACCTTTAAATTTTAGATTTCATCTCACTTTTTGCATTAATGACAGTGGTCACTAGGATACACAGAATTCTCTACAACGGGGACATAGACAACAGTAAAAACTAGACAGTGGGTTTAACCCTTCTCCAATCAATCCAAAGCTAAATTTTATTTTATTTTTCTCCTTACTCACATTAGAAATACAGTAGTGACTTGTTGCCTCAGCGGTCTCCGGGTGCAACCTCTCCCCCTTTGTTTTAATTGCAAGCAGATAGGTACATTCATTTGACTTGGTATCATCCTCTTGTAGTTCCTGTAAGACAGAGCTCAGTCTGGGAGAAGGAGAAGCAGCACGAAGAGACAAGTAGATGTGATGCAGTGACTATGTGCTAATAAAGAGCATGCTGATTGGAAGTGAGAGTGAGAAAAGCTCAAACATTTAGCCCCTTACATTCTGTCTCGGTTACCAGGACCAATGGGGGAGGAATCTCCCTAAAAGGGACACAGATCACAATAATAATTTGACCTAACCCTTCCCCGCTCTATGCAACCCCCCAAAAAAAAATGTTTTGCCTTCACATACATTTAAACTCTGCAACAACCTGTGGACAGTGCAATACATTGTACATGTACTAGCTATATCCTCAGCCAAGGATAGATTTGAGGACCTCTGTGTGGATGTGGGTAAATTCATCAAGTAACTTCATAGTGCTCCATGTATTTAATTACTGACCACCACATTTTGAAATGTGTATATATTGCAGACAGAAAAGATCATCTGTAGATGCCAGAAACCTAATGAGTAACTTCACCCTTATCTTAAAAAATGACAACAAATGCACCTTTAGAAATGTTTAGTGATGGCAATCTACAAACACATACTTCTAGATAATTGCAGCTTTGTATTCTTTGAATACTTTATTTTTCTTTTCCTCCACATTCTTCTCACGGTGGCCATTTTCAGTAATCACAGGTGGACCCATATCTCTTTACTTCCTGGAATTTTGGCATATGTGACTGAAACATGTCACACACATCATCTCCCGGGTGAAAAATGCCTTTTCCTGATATCTTGCGAGATTTTTCAGTTTGTGTATGAGATTTCCCAGCAATGCAGGGATTATGTAGCCTTCCCAAGATGCATCTGTGAGGATTATATCACTAATGCCTAAGAGGACCCGGACGTGATAAAATAGTACCTGAAAATAAAATGCAGAAAAATAATATTTGTTTAGCTAATGAATGTAACATGACTTCATATCAGCATGTACAGCTGATAGAGTGATTTTTCGTGAAAGGAGGTAAAGGTTCACGTGAACATGTTAAATATTTCTTGTAACCTAGTAGGGTATATTATTTTGGCTGGGATTTGCCATCATCAGACATTAAATGGACAACCTGGGCTGTGAACCGTTAAATTAAGAAAAAAGTAAAATATTAGTAGTTCAAGGAAAAATCTTTTATTTAAAAATGGCTTCTTTGGGGACTAGAATATTAAAACAGAGAGAAAACATTTCAGAGCATCATCCGAAAAAAACTTCTGACTGCCAAAACCTAAGCCAATTATTTATTTCCTAATTCAGAACCAATCTGGCTGCATTGTCCTATTGCTTGATTTCATCGTTAGAGAAGTTATCTCACAGAGAGAACATACTGCAGTCTTTCAAGGTGAATATCCTGTAAAAACAACAGGGATAGATAAAAATAATGAAAAACCCCACTCACTCAGATTAACATTAAATCTAGGACTATGTAGACTCTGCAAAATTAAACCTATGTTTGAACACATACAACATATAGCTTAGTAAAACAAACTCAAACTAAAGCTTTTGTTATGCAGTTTCCAAGTATCACACACACACACACACACACATGAAAACTGCCCGGATAGCTAAGCTGTTAGTCAGCTCTCATACTTACTCTGTTACTGAACTTTAGGCCTATATCAACGTAGTGGTTCTGTTGGTGGTGGCAACTTACCAGCAACAGGACCCTGTCCATCCACCTGATCAGTTCCACACCCTAGCTGAAAGTATGGTATGCCTAAATACAAAACTTTTTCCTCTTCCATTCATTCAAAAATCTTGACTACTGGGTTATAGTGCCACCTGCTGATGTAGAATACTAGGTACAAACACAAAAATAAAAAGTCTAGGGGATACCCATGCTGGTTGCCCACCCCCCTTCCCATTTGCTAACACAGCTTCTGATTTTTGCCTTGAGGACATACGCGTTGATTTCTTCAATTAACAGCAGGCTGGGTGACAAGCTGGTTGTATATAGTCCCACCAGACCTGCAATTGAGCGCATTCAGTTCCTCACTACAGCAGGGTTAGCTGGGGCAGCTGTGTCCAACACACAGAACAGCCTGTGAGAGCTTCTCAAGGTGCATGTATGACCAGCTGGTCCTGATTGCCCAGTCAAAGTATCCTTCCACAGGCAGGCAGCACCATGGTCCTGGTTTTACTGCTGCAAGAGGACATTATCCACGGAATTTTTTTTTTTTCTTTCAATGTTTGTAAGTGTGTGTGATAAGTTATGCTTACCGAGGGGGAGGTCTGGCTCCCCTGCCTCCTATGGACATTTTTACTGTGGACATTTTTGCTCATAGTGTCACTTCTTCCTCTGGTAAGTACCAGGCATGAAAACTACCTCAGTCTGCCATCAATCATTGGTTTAGAGATAGTGGTTCACCTTCTTTGTCTTCATTGGGAGGCAACAGATGTGGATTTCCTGGTTCCAGTTGTCAGTTCACTAACAAGGTGGATTAGTTTGTGGCCATGAAGCAAGATGCATGTGCAGATGTTACAGATGCCCTGGTAGCAGTATAATATGATTTATGCGTTTCTATCTCTAAGGCTCTTGCCTCGTCTACTTTGCAGAATCGAAGCAGAAGGGATCCCAATCATTGTGATGGCTCCAGCATGGCCTTGCAGGCCTTGGTATGCAGCCATGATTTGTTTACATGCAGATGCCCTCTTTCTCCATAGCTTCTGTTTCAAGGACCTGTCTTTCACCCTGCTTTACAGTCGCTGGCTTTAATGGCATAGCTTTTGAGTGCCAGGTAGAGAGGGACAGGGGTTTGTTGTATTCTGTGATTCTGTCTGAAAAATGGCCTGGATGGGAAGGGGGTTTAACACCGCGGATGTCAACTGGTTAAGGCGTGTAAGGACACTTCCCATAGTATTTAATATCGTACATGGAAGGTCTCATTCCGTTGGTTCTCAATTTGGTATTTTTTCACAGATTTTATATAGTGGATATTCCTCAAATGCTTGTTTTAGGCATACTTTAAGTTCTTGAAGTTAGCAGTGTGATTGTCTTGTTCTTTAATGTTTTTCACACTGGGTTGTTCTTTTTGCTAGCCCATCTGTGAACACTGCTTTATGGTGTCCCAGTGCGCAAGATTTACAGATCTCCACTGTGTTCTTCAATGAACGGAAGAGAAAATAGGATTTTTGGGGTTTAAAGCTGTGGCCATTTTTTTTCTCCCAACTGTGTCTCATTAAGGATATTTCCATTCACTTCCTGTAGACTCAAGAGTGTGTACGGAGAATTGATGATTCCCTGCTGAATCACATTTTCTGTTTCCTTTTTGTCAATCAGTTTGATATTATGCTTAATGAAAAATATTATGAAATGCATCTCATAAGTAAGATTGTTTAGTAAATATGGTATAAGATAATGCACACTACCAGAAGTAAATGATATGACATCTAAAATGACAGGTTACAGATATTCTACTATATGATCATTTTCTATATGTATATTATATTAAAGAAAAACATACATACTATTTAATACAGTTAGAGACCTTAAAACATTTAATGTACACTCAAACACATGTTTTGTCATTTGCGTTTGTTTTTCGTGCGATAATTGTAAGGTGTATGGGCACCTCAAGGCCTTTCCCCCTCACGCGAGTCTGTCAAATAAAGCTTTTATCAGTAGTATACGAACAAACCGCACTATCCAGAGAATTCCAATACTTCAGACTTTATTGAAATTCACGGCAAATCCAGTATAACAGTGAAAAAAGTGTATAAAGCAGCTTTATACACTTTTTTCACTGTTATACTGGATTTGCCGTGAATTTTAATAAAGTCTGAAGTATTGGAATTCTCTGGATAGTGCAATCTGTTCATATACTACTACATTCAAAGGTGGAGATGCACCTATTAGACCAACACCTGGGGAGTCCTGATGGTGGCTAAGGAATTGAGCGGTGAGATTTCCTTTGGCTCTACTGGTCAGTGCTAGCTATTTTTCTAGAAAATGCCTTATAGCTAGACATTTGAAGGATACACACTTGTTTATTGAACGTACGACTTGACGTATATATTAAAACTAACACATACTTTGGCTCCCTGTGCTAAGGATAAATAGGATAAAATAATGTAGGGGAAAATATTTGGAGTGGTATTATTATAAGAAATATGTCACATTATGTCCCATTTGTGCAAAGAAAAGGATGTGAAAATCATTTTGGTGTGCAAAGCATTTACAATGTTAAGTAAACTGCTCCAGGCCAAAACTTTAAAATCAGGCCATGAAGGTTTTGAATACCCCGAGCTGTGAAAGAGTTAAATAAAAGGTATATCTCAAATACATTTCTGATAAGCTTCTGAAACATTAACCAATGTATTTTTGGAATGTTGGAATGGCTTGCTGTTGACTTACTCACTACATCAGAGATAGTGAGTTAGTCAGTGAATTTAAACATGCTTAGGAAAAACATACTGTTGGTTTATCAACAGACAAAGATGTTCATTAAAAGAAAGTTTAAAAAAAAAAAGGACAGACATGATTGTCCAATTGGTCTTTTTCTGCTGTACATCTTCCATGTTTTATATAAACAAAGTTGTAATTTAGCTTTACCTTTTGGGTGTTCATACAATAGCATTACGGTAATGCTGGCATTAGCAAGGGCTTTGCTGCACGTTTACTGCGTTGGTGCAATGTGGCACTATTTATTCTGAATGGCACCCTAACACACCATGCTGACAGATGTGCATTGCTGCACTGTGCAATGTGTTATCAATGCACATTAATTCTTTGGAGTGTGATTGGGGTACTATTCAGCAGGAATGGTCCTGCATCATACTAATGCATTAAGTGTTTGTTGCCACACATTGTGGTATAGCGTGTTAGCAGTGGCGTCGCTACAGGGGGGCAATTGCCCTCCCTAGGTTATCACTTGCCCCCCCCCCGTGTGC